TTGCTTTGCTGTTTCCTGTGACGTTGCTTGTGCGTGCTGTGCGGAAAAAGTATGTCCCAGAGTTGTTAATTATCATCTCACCTGTATATATTTGGCTTGGATTTATGTCCCTGCAGCCACACAAGGAAGAAAGGTTTGAAAACTAACCCCCCTCTCTCCCCCCCCCCCTCCCCCACACTTTTTTTCCCCCCTGAAATCTTGGTTTTGGCGTAGATTTTTGTGTTTAAATTTGGCCTTTTTTTAAAAAAATTTTATTTTCTTTCCTTCATGATATACTTAAAATCTTATCCCCCTTATTATATATATTTTAATTGTGAATTGGTAAGTGAGAGTTTGGATGAGTTGGACTGTTGAAATCAATGTTCAATGTGGTAACTGAATGGGTGAATGACTCATGATAGGCGGCGAGGAGCCAAGGACATATTGTTTAGACATTTTGGACACTTCATGGTTGCTTCTTGTTTATGTCAAGTGTGAAGTCATTGAGCGGGAATGGTAGTCAACAGAGCAGTGGGGTGGCTATAATGAGCTGATATGCCAAATGATCTATTTCCCCCTCTTACTTTTATGTTCAAGACGAACATACCTGACCAGCTGACCTTGAGGATATATCAGGATACTAATTTCCTTTGACTAGTGCCAAAGTCATCGCTTTGTTCCAAGTGACAATGTGTGTGCTCTATGCCAGATATTTCCCTGTGATCATGAAAAATGATATTTCACCGTGTCAAAGATGAAGTAGATCATGTTAGTGATGTGCAATCAATCTGGATGGACCTTGTTTATCTGATTTGCTTTTCATGCCTATTGATGACCTCTACACCGCTTCAACTCATTACTCAGGCAACAGGGCTGGTTGGCTAATGTGGGGCCTTGCCTTGAATACATGTTATGTGATGCTGATTAATGTTATGCAATCTGTTGGGATTTTTTTCACTGTTTTGAGCTTTTGGTTATTCTACCAAACTGGTTATTTGCTGTATAGACGATCCCTACTTTAGCCCATGATTTATTACTACAAACCAATGATTGGTTTGATTTTTTGCTACTTGTTTACGTCTTCTGTAGTTGGGTTACTGTTGGTTCGAAGTCTTGTCATAGTTGTTAAACTAATACTCGATACAAACTGAAGCATGTCAGTGTAACATCATATTAATTGGACTCGATTGTAAACTGTAAAATGTATGTCAACTACTCTAGATGGGATCTGATATTGCTGATCATACAAGAACTTCTGTTCTAAACTCATGAAATTTTGTTAGAATTTACTGTTTCTTTGGAGTTGGAATGTGGGAGCTTTTAAAAATTCTAAAGAAGAAATATGGCAAGGGTCAGAAACTCAGAGGCAAAGTAGCGTGTATGGGAGGGAGAGGATAGATAATTCTTTGATAAGACAAAGGGAGTGACTTCTCTTTATACAACTGGATACAAAAATGCAATATTTTTTCTTATAAGATGACATGCTTGTTCATCTGGTGAGCTGGTGGAATGCATTATTATGCTATATGCAGATGGGATTCCCTTGAAACAACCTTTTTTTTTTTTTTTTTTTTTCTTTTCATGGTCTGCCAAAGTAATTATGTTTACAATTATCTGCAACTTTGATAATTCATCACAATGACCATGAAATGGTAGTGATTATCAAAAGCAATGCGACACCAGCTGGTCAGCAGTACCATAAGCAGTTCCATGGATAGCAGTTGTCTGTCCCATGTTGCTTGTTTAAGTGTTAATTCAGAACTTAGAATAGAGAGATTTTGGAAGTTGTTCTGGTCTATCGATAATAGTCGCTTATTATATTTATCACTCATGTAGAAATGTTTTGTTTGGTTAAGTGGACTGCAAATTTCTTTTGGTGTCTTTCCTAGTTCTTTCTTGCAGTACTTACCTTGTTGTTTGTGTTTCTGCAGGTTTCTTTATCCGATATATCCACTAATTTGTGTGGCTGCATCAGCTTTTATTGAAAGTATGCCTAATTTTTTCCGTGATAAGTACAACCCTAATGATAGTTCTGCGCTTGTTATGGTGAGTGTTTGGAAATTCCTCATAAATCTTTGTTGCTGATTTTGTAAATGTTGTGATGGTCTCTAATATATAAACTGTTGTGTTTTGTTAAACAGATTGCAAAATTTGTCAGGCCACTGATCCTCGGCTTTATACTGTGTGTCTCCCATTCACGTACTTTCTCCTTGATCCATGGGTACTCAGCTCCTCTTGAGATCTATAAGCATTTGCAGTACCATGAGGATGCTGGATATGGTAAGCTTTGGATTATGGTTTATTGCTTCACCAATATGCACACTTATATTTTGTCTTGCAGTAATGATTTCTCCATTGACTTAAACATACTCTCTCCATCCTGAAGTGTTGCTCATGTTGGCTTTTTACGAATTTTAGAACACAATTACTGACTGGGCATTGGTCAATAGCATTTTAGTATAGCGGGCATAGAAAATTTTGATTGTTAAAATATGCATTACTTATTTTAAGAGGACAATAATATGGTACAGAGGGGGTGTATGACTGCTGCAAGTAACTAATTTCTGTTTATCTGATGAAACGTGATCTTACCATCATGGGATAGCAGCTGATCTTCAGTAACTCAGTAATTATGCAGGATAAAATTTATTTCTCTATCTGACAAAAGCTGTCAAATTATTAATAATTTGAAGTTGTTAAGAGAGTTACAGTTCCTTGGTTTTGTATTCTCTCACTTATTCTTTGAAGACTGAGAAGATGTTAGTAAATCTCTTCTTTTGTCTTAATTCCCCTTTGGACACCACTTCCTTGCTTCCATTAATAGCTGGGATATAAGTCTTAGTCATAATGATTTCTAACTTCTTCCAATGTAATTATTGGGGATAGTAACCTCCAGAGTCAAGGACATTTCTATAAACATTTTTTTTCTGAGGAATGTCCTGGGTCTCACATTTTTATTGTTTGGAGGGTCCTTAACCTTACAGTTCTTTTGAATTTCACTATTAACTTTGCTTTGTTTTTCATTGTGATTACAGGTTCTACCCTCTGTGTTGGAAGTGAATGGCACAGATTCCCTTCTTCGTTTTTTATTCCTGACTATGTGGCTCAAGTGCGCTGGATTGATGATGGATTCCGGGGTCTTCTTCCTTTCCCATTTAATTCAACACTTGGTGGAACTTCAGCAGCACCTTCTTATTTTAATAACAAGAACAAAGCATCTGATAAACAATATGTAATGAACTTCAAACTCAGCTCCTGCCTTGTCGGCTCTTGTTTATTGTGAAAATCATTAGCTTTTTCTGCTCTTAATCTACAAAATTAGTTTCTTTCATTTTAATCATGGGCATGCTTGAAATGGAGGAAATAATTTATGAGGTAATGAGGTATAAAAAAAAAGAGTTGGTAGATGGGATGAGATAGTAGTGTTTGAAAGAGGAAGGAGTGATTGAGGAATTATTCCCTCTTTTTAGGGGTAATATATTACTTTAGGGGTGGGGTGGGAAATTATTATACTCAGTGGAAGGGTAGTAGCTCCCCTATCCTGCCTCCTCTCTCAACTATCACCACCTCCATCATTCTATTTCTTCTATTTTACTTCAATTGCACCGTAATTCATTACTTCAATCCAAGGGTCCCCTTGAGAGTGATTGTGAATTGCTTGTCTGAATTGCTGTTGCCAATAATGTGCAGCTCCAGGATCTTGAAATATGTACCTTGCTTGTTGAACTTCACTTGAAACGTCCCTTTGCATATCGTGGTAGTGACTTGTCAACATGGGAGGTAGTATTTCTAGTATTTTATTCCCCTTTTTATTTATTTATTTATTTTATATGCTTATGTTGAACTTATAAACAGGTTGTTGCGGCATTGCCTTACTTGGATAGAGAGCTCTCGCCATCCTTGCATCGTTCATTCTTCATCCCATACTTTTGGCAGGAAAAAAATGTTTTCGGCTTGTATAAACTTCTTAGAAGAATCCCAAAATGAGCTCCACTGCAGGAAGCGTCTGATCTGTTCTAACTTCTAACCCAAAGCACAGGTACTATTAACTAATCCTAGACATGATTTAGTCTGAATGAGGAACTTTTATTGTCATATGAAGTATATTTCAGGTAGAGAGCCTTATGCTTTTTCCACATCATTCTGTTCTTCCTTGCATTTTACTTGAAAGCTTTTATCTTTTATCCTCTACACTTTTGTTCATTTGTTTATTTTATTTCAGAATTAGGCTATTAGCCTTTTTCTTTTGTATGATAGCGGTATTGGGATAATGTCATGCTTTGTCTGGGTAGTGGGGTATAGGGCTCTCTTATAAAATACTGAACTCCCTCTCTCTGAATTTAATCTTGCACTCAGGCTTCGGCTTGCATTTTGACAAAGCAACTAGCTGGTGAGACAAAAAGTGGTTAAATGTGAATATAAAATTACGAGGGGATAGATAAAAGGGAAAAATAAATTTAGGCAAACCAAAGTGGTTATGTGGCAGATAAATAGATAATATTTTGGATAAAAGGTACCTTCCCATAAAAAATCAATAAATTACAAATCTTGTTGAACATTTCATGACATGTTTTATAAGAAAGTATTCCCTTGGTTTTTATTTATTTTTTATCTTTTGTAAAAATTATTTTGTTCTACTATGATTTTCAGGCCTATACTTTGATTATTAATATCATTGCTACATATAAAGAACGGAGGAATTATACAAGTAAAATGACTAAAAACTATAAAATGTTTATATTTTTTTAAAAATGTTTATCTATACAATCTAATGACATTAGACATAATGGCATTTATTTTTATACTCCTCCTGTCCCATTTTTGTTGTCATATATAGGTAATGAAAATAAATGAGGGAACGTTATTTATTGTGATGCTTCTCACCTTTTAGATTACTTGTGACCAAAGAAAATTGAGTTTGATGGCACTTTATATTCTTTTATTGTTAATGATTGGAAACTTGACAACTATTTTAGGAAATCCCAAATTGAAAATTTGACAACTAAAATGGATGGAGTATGTTAGCAGAAGCATATGGTCAATTTGAAACATGTGAATAAACTGGGAATAATACATTAATACACCATTTTACATCAGAGATTTTTCCCCAAGCTGAACATACATTACAACTAAACTGGGTTGGACACAACATCGACAGATCTACAGATGTTGCAGGACATTAGTCTTTTCTTTATATGTATATTATAGGTTATAATCAACTTTATCAAGCTTTACAGCACATTACCAAACTTTTTTTGAATCCATTAGCCCTAGAATGTCCTCCCACATCCCTCCACTATTCACATATTCCAGCCCAATAACACTCGGACTGCATGCAGCAACAGTCCAGTACCCGGCTCGAATTTCCTCCTGCAACTGCTCTTTTTCCCATCCACAATACCCATCAAAGAACTTAATGTCATCCAACCCAATCACATTCCTCTTCACCATCTCAGCAGCACATCCCACACTCTCCTTGGTCCCGTAATATAAACCTTTCATCACCTCATCAAACACCCCACTTTTACTGACACCATCATCCCCCTCTTTTGGGCTTTTAACAAGGAACAGTCCCTGTTCTAAGGGACCTCCAAAGTACAAGGGTCGGTCTAGAAATGTGCCTGATGAATCCAACACTGTCGATTTCGTTTCCTTGATGGACATTAGTGATGGGCGGTTTAGTATGATTCCAGTTGGGCCTATAGGCCCTGTTGCTAGCATAAGGACCACAGTCCTCTCAAAGATGTGTACCCCGTCGAGCTTCTCTGTTGCTATGAGTAGGCAACCTTTTTCAGGCTCGTGAATTGCATGGGCCCAATTATCACTTATTATCAGCTTCTGCGGATCAGCATCAGCTGATGCTGGTGGTGATGTTGTGGGATTTTCAGGGATAGAGATTTTCTCTGCTGCAACAAGTTTTGCTCTGAATGATCTCCAATCTCCACTGAGAGTGGGATTTATTTCCTCATCTCTGGATGACGAGGATCCCATTTGGCAACCTACATGCATACAAATTTTCCAAATTTAGTTGTTGAGGATTCTGTTTGAATTGATGTTACAAGTACTGATCAATTATCATTAGTTCCAGTTGATAATCAGGGTAGGGATGTTAGGAAAGGGGATAGCTTAGGTATGTCTTCTAGCTGAGATTAGGCTGTCCACCTTAGTGACCTTACTGTAATAGTTCATGACAGGATGAACTCATGTATTAATGTTATAGTTGTCAGTGAGTAGAATTTCAATCTTGAACTTCCTCTATTTCTTAATACCCTGCTTAATCAATTTTTTATGTTTCAAATTGTTTGTTAATTAATAAATTAATGCAGTATCACTTTTCAATTTGAAGTACCAATGCAATATTACTTGTCACCTTTAAATGCTAGCAAATAATTCTTCGTACGTGTGCATTACCTTAAACAATGATTAATCGATTATTATCGAGAGCTTCTGATACACTGCTTCTGTAAATGCTAATATGGTAAAAATTTGTTTCAGAATTGACGAGTTGAGGACAAACTTACATGTTATGGAAGACGAAGTGACATGCTTATAACTGTGGAGCAGAGAACTCTTCTTGGGAAGGGCAAGGAGCTTAGATTTCACCAATGGAATAAGTTCGGTTGTCTTGGTAATGCAGTTTGAGCTAAGAAAACAAGGTTCCATCTTTCTCTCTTGTTGCTTGGAAATGGATAATTTTGCTTAGATGTGAATGTTTTTGGCTCTTACTTAGATGGAAGAATATGAAGTGGTACTACTATGTACAAGAACTCCCAATTCTTATTGGAAAAACAGACAATATCCACCACACATATAGTTACTTAGTGTATTAAGTTGGATAGGGTGGCTTTTGCACTTTTTGTACTCTGTTGGGCCAGTGGATATGGCGTGATGTGGCGAAAAACTATAGGTTAAAAATATTCATGTTCATCTACCAATCTTAAGCACTGTATTTGTTTTTTTTTTTGTTTTTTTTTTTTTTTCATATATTCTTATTTATCTAACAAACTTAGCATTATTATATATTTTATTTTATGTTTTAAATTTTGATAGATTGTCGTGTAAACTGTCATAGTGTCTTCTGAGGTGGATAAAACTGATTTCATGGTGATGTTCAGCTTCTTTTGCGGTTAAAAGACTACGAAGAAATGCAGGTTAAATGCTTTGGGAAGTTTGGTTTTGCAATATAAAATGCATGACCTCAAAATTTGATGGTTTTGTTGCACATGTCTGCGTTGGAAGTTTGCAAGTAATTGGTGAGATCTACATATATATAGTGTTTGTATGTAATTGATATTCACGGGAAATCATTTACCTTATAAGTCACGACTCATTTAGCAGTTAGTAATAAATGGCAACAATGGTCATGTCGTAATGAGTTTATAAAGAGTTGTGGTAAAGTTTATGATAACAATGGTCATGTCGTAATGAGTTTATAAAGAGTTGTGGTAAAGTTTATGATTAAACAATTGCGTGTATTGTGATTTTTTTTAATACTCTGACTATAATAGTTAGGCAGCATTTGAGAGTAAGTTGCTCTATAATCAATGACATGAGATTTTTATCACAAAGTTTTACTCAAGAATTGACACAAAAATCATTTACACTCCCTCCTTTCATTATATATTTTTGCTATATTTGAGCATTTTTCTAAAATGCATTATTTCTATATTTTTATCAACTTGGGACGCTACACTATACAAATGGTATAGGCAAAGTGTTGTTTATATATAAAAAAAAAATGATGAACTCCGCGATTAATGCACCAAACCAAAGTCAACAAAGACACTGATCTTTAGGGGTAAATACAAGTTTCTCATAGTGAGAAACAAAAACATGTCATTTTCGTAAATAAATTAACAACTTTTTTTTATTATTGCGGGCTCCACAATTGATGGTGATTGAATAAAGTTGTTGGTTTATTTATGAAAATGCCATGTGAGAAGAAATTTTTGTTTCTTATCGTGAGAAACTAGGGCAAGCTTGATCTTTAGGCTCAAAACATTTTCTAAATTTCATCATTTGTATTAGGAAAGATTCTTCATTGGGGCTCTTAGTAGTTCGGCCTTTATATTTTTTGTAAGAATTATTAAATGTGCGTAATAAATATATTGCCTTAGACAAAATATTATGTCAAATGTCAAACATAAATGCTTTTACTGTTTAATTAAATAAAATAAATATGTAAATTTTTTTTATTGAGGCCATAAAATTTACAATGTTCGTCCGAGTTAGTCATGCGTCAAGGTTGTGGATACTATACAATGTTTCCACCAGAACCGAACCTTACAACATGATAAATCGTATCAACTATTGCATTCAAATTTACAATGTTCGTCCAAGTTTACGTTGGATATCAACTTTTTATGGCGGCAAAGTAAGTTTGTGATCAGTTTTTATATTGATCTTATATAGAATAATTACAACTAGCTAATTTGTTCCAATTAAATTAATTGTAGGACATGCAATCATCACTCAAGAACTTTGCAAGTAACATTATTTTCTCGAATAAGCTTATGGATCCATTCAGTTCTTTGAAGTAAATTGAATACCAATTACAATCGTATGCGAAGTATAAGTAGATTGATATGTATTTGATCTTTATTTGTCCAGACTATTAATTTTTTTTGGGTGGAATAGGGTGTTGGAGACATCTCGGATACATCGGTGGCAATAAATATAACATTACAAATTTATTTCATAATACAACAATAATTATCAACTATAAATCAATAATTTCATTCCAAAATAATACGCGTATTTAAATTATCCGAAATATTATTTTTATACATATATCGTAATATGTTGCTTTCATCTATTTTCCCATATAAGTTTGTGTAAATTAAATTTGTAGATCGAACTCGCATATTGTTTCATGATGTTAACTAATTTAATTATCCATCTTTCTATTGCATATAACAAATATTTACAAAAGTTATGTGAGGCCAATACCATTGTTTTAAACTTGACCTCACATAATTTGTCAATACCTGTTACTCACTGTGTTGCTGACTGTACCTGGAGTATTGCTGAGTGGGGGACATCCTTCCGTCAATCAGTTGGATGGCGTTACCTTCTTGACGTTTTGGCGGGAAAATATTCACAGCTTCCATACCCAGAAGCTTGTGCAGACAATTAGCAGGTAGTTTTCTGATCTTCACTCATTGCCGTTTTGTACAGCTTCCAGACCCAGTAAAAAGATCTTCACTCATCGCCGTTTTGTACAACTTCCAGACCCAATAAGCAGACCCAGTTGAAAACCACACAGACATCTTCGAATTACGAGGTATTTTTCCGATCTATTTAAGCGTCGCATGTTACAGTCGTGAGTTTTGTTCTGTTGTTGTCATGCGCCCACAATTCATGAAATTGAGCTCATAATCTCGACCGCAATCGAAATAATTTTGAATGTAATTGGATTTTAAGGACTTTTTCCTCTGTTAAAATGAGGTTGAGGTTGACGGAAATGGCCGGAGGATTTTGTTTAAAATGTAATTTTATAGTTTTTGAAACAACGTGTTGTCTTCGTATATTTTTTAAAAAATCCCTGTGTTGATTTGTGAGGTTATGTGAAAATTGGTTGTGTTGGTTGTTCAATTGGTTGGTTGATTTGTGTCGGTTGGTTATATTTCTGTGTTGGGTTGAATGTGTGCTGTGAAAACTTGTTTGGTTGATTTGTGTTGAATTTTATATTATAATTATGTTGGCGTTCTGTATTAATTGTTGTCGTAGTAATTATGTTGGTGTTCTTTATTTGAAGGGTTAATTGTTTTTTGTTGGAGAAGATTGATATTATGGAAATGGAAACAGAAAGAGATATAAAAGGTAGTGAGGTTGGTGTTGGTGATTGTGGCAGTGGAGTTAAGTTTCGGAGTAACGTCCATATGGAGGAGGATATAGAAGACTTAGATGATGCAGGTAGTTGTGCACTTGACATGGATGTTAGGTATTTATCCCCCTGGAAACAATTCATACGACTCACACTGTGGTTGGTAGCAACGAAATAGCTGTAGTTGTTGAGGAGCCTAAGGAAGGGATGGTTTTCCAGTCTTGGCAACAGATTGAAGCCTACTATAAGGACTATGCTGAGCAGATGGGGTTTGGAGTGACAAGGGCTCAAGGTGTAAATTCTAAGACGGGGGACCAAAAAAAAAATCAAAGTCGTGGAAGTGTGAATGTTGGGGAAAACCCGACATGAGGGCTAGGAGGGAAGCGAAGAAGAGGGCAAAGGCAATGAGTCATGGAGGTACAGGTGGTTTAGTTGATGGGGTGGTATGTGAGGATGAATTAAGTGGTATGAAGAGGACTTCGAAAAAGTGCGAATGTCAGGCCCGTGTTTATGCTAAAGTTAATGAAGATGGCTTGTGGGAGTTGAAGAGCGTGGAACTAAAGCATAATCACGCGATTGATCCGGCAAATTCTAAGCTTGTTAAGGAGTACCGCATGAGGCAAATGACCTCCAAAGTGAAGAAGACGTTGACAGATTTGTACGAGCAAGGTGTACCAATTTCTCAAATACACGGTTTCATGGCGATCGAACGAAAGGGTAACATGGCTTTGACAGTAAAAGATTTACAACATGAGGTGTACAAGGCTAGGCGGTTGAAGATGATTGGAAGGGACTCGGTGGCAATGATGGAGTACTTTGACAAAATGCAAACCGGGAACCAAATTTTTTTCCATGCTCAACGTTTGGATGAAGAAGGGAGGCTTAAGGATGTGTTGTGGGTGGATGCAAGAAGTAGGGTAGCTTATGAGGACTTTGGTGATGCGGTTTGCTTCGACGCAACATACCTAACGAATGAGTACGAGCTCCCGTTTGCGAACTTTGTTGGTGTGAACCACCATGGGCAATCGTTGTTGTTGGGATGTGCTCTTGTTTCACATGAAGACTGCAATACGTTTGCGTGGATATTTCGACAGTGGTTAGCTTGCATGAACAATCGAGCTCCTAAAGCCATATTGACCGACCAAGTGGCAGCTATGCGGAGGCCCCTTGCTGAAGTCATGCTAAACACGGTGCATCGTTGGTGCATATGGCATATCATGAGCAAGATCCCTGAGAAACTTGGCAAGTGTGCACAGTATGTTGTGAAATTCCTCCTCCTGGATTTACAATTTTCAAGGTCTTGATATTAGTTTCAAAGGCGTAATAATCTGATTCCCATATTAAAGAGAAGCTAACCTTGTTGCTGTTCTGCTGTTATCATTTTTGTCTAGTTACCAAGAGTTCGTCAACCCCCTCAAAGAGCTGGTATATGAGAGCTTTGACCCCGAGGCGTTCCAAACCCGATGGGCAGAGTTTATTGCCGAGTATAAGTTGGAGGACAATGAATGGCTACAGAGCCTACACAAAGAGTCATATGTGGGTGCTTGCGTACGTGAAGGAGTTTTTTTGGGCAGGTGTGAAGACCACACAAAGGGTGGAGAGCATCAATCGGTTTTTTGACGGCTATGTGAACCGTAAAACAAAACTCCATGAGTTTCCTCAAAAGTATTGCATGGCCTTGGATCAACGCGTTCGAGATGAACTGAGTGCAGATGCGCGTTGCTCGAAGTACCTTAGGAGGTTGGTTAGTGGATTAAAAGTCGAAAAAATATTCCAAAAGTTATACACGGACAACAAGTTTCAAGAAGTTCAAAAGGAGTGTACGAGAATGATGTATTGCAACGTCCGAGGAGAGAAGGTTTTGTCTGAAAAGCTTATTCAGTATTCAGTGGTCAATCGTGTATGGATAGTACCTCCCGGTGCAAGTGAGGATGTCATTACAAACAGGCGAAGATCCTACAATGTTACTTTCTGTCCAGTGACAAAGGAGGTGCAGTGTGACTGTAGGAAGTTTGAGACAAGTGGAATACTTTGCATACACTGTATTAGGATTTTGGATGAAAACTTGGTTGAAGATCTACTAGAGATGTACGTTGTAGACCGTTGGAGGAAGGACATACCCCGGAAGCACACTAGGGTTAAGGTGGCCTACCATGATCCGGGGGACACGGTCAATGTGAAGAGATTCAACAAAATGATGCAAAAACTCGAGCCCTTATGTGAAACCGCTGCCATGGTGGACGATCAAACGGTCCATATGGTAATTGAAACACTATCGAAGCTTCAATTAGCTGTTAATGAGCGTAGGGACAAGAAGAGTAAGGAAAATGTTCCTGTAGTTAGTACATTGACATCAGCTACTGAAGGCAGAACGTTTTCCTCAGTTAGCAATCCTGTTGCTGATGCTACTGCCGTAGACTCCTGTCCAGCTGCCATGGACCTTGTTATCAAAGACCCTATAATTAAGAAAAGGAAAAGGGGCAGGCCTAAGGGTTCAAGGCACAAAACGTTAGCTGAAACTGGCTACAAGAAAACCAACAAGAATAAGAAGCCTAGCCCGGTAAGATTTATGCTTTCTTCAATTTTTAAAGGGTCTGACTGCTTATCCTGTTATTATTTTTTGAATGCTGTTATATCATACAGGAGCATGCAGGAAATGGTGTTGAGGAGGATGCTGGAAATGGTGGTGAGGAGGAGGATGCAACAACAAATGGTGTTGAGGAGGAGGACATGGTGTTGCAGGATCTGGTGTTTAGGAGGAGGATGCAGGAAAAGGCAGGAATGGCAGAACCCGGTAAGACAAAGGGGAAGACAACAGATGCAGGAAATGGTGATAGTGGTGAGGAGGATGCAGCAGCAAATGGTGTTGAGGAGGATGCAGCAGCAAATGGTGTTGGGCAGGATGCAGGTGTTGAGGAGGAGGAAATGGTGTTGCAGAATCCGGTGTTTAGGAAGAGGATGCAGGAGAAGGCTGGAATGGCAGAACCCGGTATGTCAAAGGGGAAGACAACAAAGGGGAAGGGGAAGGTAAATACGTCTTCTCGAAAGCTACCTGTAAGTTTCAATACTAATTTTATGTCATTCTACCTCAGTGATTATTTATATGACATTGAACACATCGCACCTGTCACAGGTGAAGTAGAAACGTCTTGATGAACTAATGGCCATTTCGTGACCATTTGAGTTGCGTGTTAAATTAATATACTCGATTCTGAGCATGATTAAATACGAAGAAAATGTAGCTTGTTGTTACGGGAGCATATGAAGAACCGTTTATTGTTTGAGCATATGAAGAAACAGATTACGGGGTTTATTGTTTGTTTGAGCATATGAAGAAATAGATTACGGGAGCATATTCTTTTCAACAGTTTGTAAAAGTGTTAAGCATTTGAAACATGTAAGAAAAATCATCACATATGTCTTTGAAATCATTTTCAAGGCGATGAATATATATACAGACAAAGGTTCAAGGTCTTGAGATCATTTTCAAGACGGAGTACATTGATTCACTTTTTAAAAAACGAGACTTTCAATGCTTTGAGTATATCTGATTTTCATGTTTTTACATGCTTTTACATGTAAAAACAAAAGCAGTAAAAACAAAAGCAAGATAAGCATAACATAGTACGCCTCAAAATTCAGGATACTATCTAGTGTAGACGACACAAACTGATCAAGTTCAAACCAAATTACCACATAGTCCTACAAAGACACATACACCGAGTCTGTTAATACACGTTGTTGTACATAATACGATCATCATTGGAGGAATGGAATGTAAATGACGATATTCCAATTGTTTGTCAGGCCACAAACACCAACACATCACAGTTTTTGCGATGTTTTCCTAGGACCTGGAATCGCATCTCCCAGAGAGTCTTTCAATTCGTTCACTTCACACTGCACGTCGTCCAAGAACAGATTTGCCCGAGCAGTAGGAATCTTCCCCTGTAAATGTAAGAATAGAACAAACACTTTAGCCAACCATTCCAGAGATCTTCACACAAAAAACAGATATATACACCACCTACCACAATGAACCTCGTGGTGAATCTTCTGGCAAAGAACTTAATACACGCCAACATAAGAACACCGCAGTATGAGCTGCATATTGGAGGACAACAATCAATACAAAAGCTGAAGATACGTTCTCCTGACCTTAAAGGTAGGCTGATAGTTATTGGCACAATAAGCAAACAAGGAAACACAAGTTCTTACTTATCCTTTGGCTCTAAGATCTCAACAGTGCATCTGGTCCAAGAATGTAGCTGACCAGCCTTCCATGCTGGGTCACAGAGTCGGAAAAGGACGTCGATGCCACTAAGCTGTAGTTTGACAAACACATTACTCATTACCAAATGGTCCCAATAAATACCATGTTTGTTTAGAATGAAAGTCATTAGTTTTAGTACCAGAAGATCAATCTCTTTGGCATGGGTGGAGAATGGGTCAGGGTACATGGAATTTATCATCCACAACTGTTGAGCCTTCATGTGTAATGCTAAGCACCACCAGTGCGACTCGTCAGGGGAATCCTGAGGAACTTCGAGGACCGGGACAAACACCTGGTTAATTGACAATGGTAAGCACAATTTAGCGCATATGCATGAAAAACACATTTAAACCTATATTATTGAGCTATGTGAGTAAGTTGCTGACCGCTTGAATATTCGACTGGTTAAAGGTCAGGAGAAATTTGGCATAATTGTTACAAATATGTTCTTCTTGTCCTTCGTTCAACAACAGTCGATTCTACGATCCAGACAATAAAAACAACAAGCATGACCATCATCATATGTGCACGTAAATATGAAACCCCAAAGGTGAAATGAACCCCGAACCACTTACCGAAAAGCTTGGGTCAAGCAAAATACGCTTGCTTCTGTTCCAAAAGTCTTTGGTGGCCTATTGCTTAGTGTATAGCACACTGGCCATTCTAACATAATCAGTGGAAACCCGCAATTTATTGTGCACCACTTCATAGTAATCCCTCTGGTTGGCTTCCATGCCATCACACCTTATCATCACCTTACCAGGGCTATGCGGTGAACCATCATCATAACACCAAGTATACACATAAACATATTAGAATTTACAATTAAAACAAAAACTTTGCAAAAGGCATGCACAATAAAAAGACCTTTCACACTCAATTACACTTTCCTGAATTACCTAAGTGGATCCTTCAGCTCCTTCCACCGCTTTACAAAATGCAGCAAACGTATCTCCATAGCTGTATGGCGACGGGTGTTTGACACATTGGTGAACATGGCTGACAAGGCTGCCTCGGTAGGTTTCACCACCCTCTTATCAGCAGACTCATCTTCCTCGTCAGATGAAGATGACTTTTCCAAACTGCACCGAGCATCAACCAAGACAGTCGTTCCCTCGTCCCAAGAAAACCCATAACTATTTCAGGTCCAGGCTCCAAGTCCCTATCTTCCACGTCATGATCAGAATAACAACCATTTAACTTTGAGAGAACACCCTCATCAGCCCCAACCACCTTGGATTCATCCCCAACCACCTTGGCCACACCTCCAGCCTCTGCATACAGTGGATCAATCGATATATTTCGAACCACACCGTCCAGGTCATCGTCATCGGAAACAGCATGAGCGTGATGGTCTTCCCTACCAACTACGTTTGCACCTTCTTCCAGTTGTGTCTTCCCCAACAAACAACTGGCCAAACTCTGTTCTTCATGCGCAACACCATCCTTCTCCGTTCGCCTACCCCTCTCGATTGCCCCCCCTAATCACTCTCTGGGCATTAGCTACGTCAACACACTGCGACATCAGCTTATGCATTGATTTCGTGACGTCAGCTAATTTAAAATCTACCAGAGCCACCAACTTCAGAGTAACTCTATCCAACACCTTCAGGAAAGCATAAACACAAACTATTAACAACTGCCATAGCACATGTCACTTATTTTTTACACATTACAGAGCTACATATGAAAGTATCATTGACTTGGATTATACCTGCTACGTAATATTTTCTGCGTCTATCGGAGCCACCAACTTCGGAGTAATTCTATCCAACACCTTCGGGAAAGCATAAACACAAGCTATTAACAACTGCCATAGCACATGTCACTTATTTTTTACACATTACAGAGCTACATATGAAAGTATCATTGACTTGGATTATACCTGCTGCGTAATATTTTCTGCATCTACTTCCCGCGTAGTCCGTTGCACATCTACGCTTTCCACCCTTTGGTTTTGACCCTCCCGAGGACTCAACGGATGCGGCTCCCCATACGCTACATTTAGTGACTGAAAAAGAAGCAAACACAACAGCTTCAGCAGGGATGTATTCCCATCAAAAGAAAGTCAAAAAACTAATACTAACCCGCAATTTCCCGAAATCCCCAAATTGTTTTTTGTCATTGCCAACCACCTCATTGATATTTTCTTCGCACCATGCCTCCAGTCTTGGTCTCACCAACAAAAAAAGGATACAACCCCCGCAACTTGCTACATATCCATCACGAGAAAATTTCCTTTGGAAACCCCTGGCTGATACAACCATCCAGTTAACACATAAGTGCACCAGCCATACTCATCCGCTTCATCGTAAACCAACAACGACGGTACAAGCTTCACTCCAAGGTAGCTTGTGTTTGCCGTAGCACACAGGATGCAGCCCAAAGCTGCTATGAGAAAGGCTATCTTGAAATCAGCATTCTCGTCATCCGACAACGGCAACACATTACCTTCCTCATCATGTCTAATCAGTGCCTCCAAAGCAGATACTAATGAAATGTGTTCCTTTTTTCCAAACTTCTCCAAGATTCTGCGATGCTCTGCTTGCTTATCCTCAGGAATCGTACACGGCGATTCCCGCGACCCCATGGGAATCCCAAGTACGTACTCAACATGCACAGGACTCAAAGGAAGCACACACTCATCTCCAAAAGTTATGGAACCATCAGCCATCACCCTTGTCAACAGCCAGTACACAAACTTCCGGGGTACATAAGTCAGGGGAATACTTAATAATCCTCCAAACCCCATTTCTGTGACCACCTTCTTCCTAGAGTCATCAAACTTATTCACTGCAGTTGCAAAAAATTTCACACCATGCAAATTTGGGGCCTACAACCATACATTCAAACAAGACAAATGATCGATTAAATTCCTTTTAAGTTACACGTCGAACCCAAAAACTAAATATAAACTAATTATACAATCCCATTCAAACTACTTGCGAAGTTGCGAATATTGTCCAACGGAATTTAACCTTACTTACGGACTGACATTAGTCATACTTAACTTACAACTCAACTACAATTTACAATTAATCTTTAGTAATTCAGTTCAATTACCAAACAACTCCCTTCACTAAACAAATGCCCAACCACAGAACTGACCAGACATTTCCGTGTCATGGATTTCAACAAATAAAGTTCAGAGAGTACCTTCTGCGTACTTCTTGATTGGGTTTTAACGACAACCCCTTTCTCCTTCACCACGTCTCCCTTCGTCTTCTCGACCTACACATGACATTACACATTTCATTTCTCCATCCAAGTGTTACACATCCAATAAGCTTTTACCATTTCCATCCAACATGACATACCTTTAGCTTGCCCTTTTTCCCCGTCCGTTTCTCAGTATGACCTCGCTTGCGCTTCCCTTTGTCAACCCCGGCTCGCAATAACTGGATCAGGAAATCCTGATAGCTCATTCTGTCCTATTCTGGTTTGTCCTCACTACCTTGACCATCGTCCTGCGCATCCTCATCTTCCTCATAATCGGCAGATGGGGGATCAACATCATCAGAAAGAGCTTCATCAGTACTAGATTCAGTATTACCACGATCATCATATCCAGGTTCATCAGAGTCCTTTAAATTCTCTTCCTCAAAAACTGGATGTGATTTCAGTTTCTTCTTCCCTTTACTAGCTACTTTCTTATTAGGCACCGCTTCGTTCCCTTTAGACTGCCCCTACACAAGCAAAAAAAATTGCCACTGTAAAACAACTACAACACACAACCGGTACTACCCTAATCCAGCAAACACAGAATCGTTAATATCAACAAACAATAACTCACCATTTCTGATCCCTTGGTCCTCCTCCGCGACATTATTTCCTCCTGCCAAGTTCAAATTAATGCTCAAAAATGGGATTTCCCAACTAT